GACTGGACTGATGTATTCTCAACGCCCTCTCTAAGAATACTTCAATCGATGCAATTGTCTTTTTTTAGTTACTCCAATGAGATTACCTTGCTCAAATCATCAAATTGATAAAAAATGACGACGTCATTTTTGAATGTCAACATACCTAATGGCTTGCAAGTTCAAGGAATTTAGAATTGAACAAAAAAATCAATTGGGTAAGAACATTAAGACACTTCAATCAGATTGATTTGGAGAGTATATCATCCCATGACGTCAGAACATAGTTATTAGATATTGGGATTTTATCATAACTGAGTGTATTATTAGCTACAACCCAGTAGAATGGTGTCTCAGGAAAAAACATGATCTTATTGGACATAGTCAGATATATGCTGGGCTTCTCAACCCTTACAACATCCTTTTGAGGATATGCACAGCAAACTATTACATGCTGATAGAATATGAATTCTATCATTAAGACATCGCTAGGGTTTTAAAATGAGCGTAAGCCTAGTCTAAGACATATTCTGATATAAGGATGTTCAAAACACCATGGTTAAGAGAAAGATGAAATAGAAGAAGTCAAGATTAGAAGTATGCATCTTTGTAGGATGTTTAAAAAATACCACTTCTATAGTCCTCAAGACAAGAAGGTGTTTGTAAGTATGAATTCAACCTTCTTAAAGTAAAAGTATATTGAAGAAAGTATATCTAAAAGTAAGTTTTTTTTTAATAAAATAAGGGAAAACGTTCACATCTCATTTGCTCTAGAGATCCACACTAAACCTATTGAAGAGAAAGTCACGCCTCTATCACCGATGGTGCCCAGACGCAATGGGAGACAAATGGAGGTTCAACCTGCCATGCCCACTAATTTCCAAACACGAGACATGACAGAGAATCAAATCCTAGTTGTTCAGCCATCTCATAGTGTTGAGACTGAAGTGATGGGGCATGATACACTCGAAGCATTGAGAAAAATTGGAGCTTCAAATAACCCAGGAACATCAATAGCTTAAATGTAGCGGGAAAACCATTTGACCTCCCTCCAAATACTTGCCATATAGAGATTCTTTCGAGTCACCCTTTGCCGAAAGATAGGAGGATCCCACTTCATATAAGGAAGCTATGGAAGATGTAGACATTGACTATTGGAGGAATGCAACGGATATAGAAATGAAGTTCATATACATTAAGTCTGGATCTTGTAGATGTGCCTAATGAGTTAAAAAATATAAGGTACAAATGGAGCTAAAAGAGGAAAAGAAGGACAAATGAGAAGGTGGAGCCATTTAAAGCCAGACTAATCCCTAAAGTTCTCAATAAGAAGGCATCGATTATGAGGAAACCTTCTTACCTATGGCCATACTTAAGTTCGTAAGAATTATTTTATCTATTGTACCTTATTTAACTAAGAGACGTGACACAAGAATGTCAAAATCTTTAATGGGAATCTAGAAGAAAACATCTATAGGTTGCAACCAAACAGTTTTTTCCCAAAAGGTAAAGAGCATAAAGTATGCAAATTGAATGATTTATTGTGAATTTTAGTGCAATTAATTAAACTCAATTGATCAAAGACGTGCTAACGTATTAGAAATGTGTACTAGACATGTATACCACATGTGTTGGTCGTGTGCCATTAGATTTATAGAAAGAGAAAATTTTGAAACAACAGAAAAAGGGAAAGTTCAATTTTGTATAATGGAATTTTTTCGTATTTAAATTATTAGGTCTGATCTCATGTCTTTAGGAGTAGGATAAAAACTTCTTACTATTGAGGTGGAACAAAACCTTAATTATAATTTTCTGAAACAGTTACAAATTCATAGAACCATAATTAAGGTTCTTTTATGGAAAGTTTTTATCCTACTCATTGGAGGCATGAAATCAATTCTACTCAAATTATATCTTATATGTCAATGTCTTGTAATTGATTTTGATTTTGATTATTGTGATCACACAAATAAAAATCTCAGCATTATTTTTATGTTCTTGATGAACATCAAAGAAAGCTTGAAAAAACGAATTATGAAGAAAAATTCAAGGAATTATTGTGAAACATGGTACAAGAGTGATCTCTAACATGCCTTCGTGTTTTATATTTAAACAAAATTTTGTATTTTTGTTAGTACACAAAGTAATCTAATCCTACACACACGTTGATATGTCATCACAAGAAATTATTTTTTGTTATTTTAACTTCTCGATTCCCAACAAAATGAAAGCCACGCTCTGCGATTTTTCTTGTGGTATGGTTGTAGATTCCAATTTACAAAAGTGATGTCTAGGTCTCCAACCAATTTAAATTTGGATTATGTAATCGAAATTATCAATATGGATGATAAAATTTCAAGCGACTTTCAAATGATTAGAAGTTAGAGAGCAAAACTGTCAAAACATTTAACATTCCCCTACAATTGAACTAAAAGTTGCATTTGAGTTGGCCCCTATTAATTCTCATTCCATTACATTTCATTTTTCTCTCTCTTATTTTCAACTACACAATCTTCCATAAAATAATATTATACGTAAATCGAAAACTCTTTTTTTTTTTTCAACAACTCATTTTTCAAAAAATACTATTCCACTAATTTTCATTACCACAAAATGGAAGCTAAACATTGATGATATTGGTCGGTGAAGACCTAGATTAGCAAATTTAAATATGATAAGGACTTAGGAACTCTCATTTAAAAATGGGAGGCTTGTGGCCACACCACGACAAAAATTGAGTAGTCTGCTTTCTCAATAATTAACGGCTACAAACTTGAAAAATCATTAGAGAGGTTGACTTTCTTACTTCTCTCATGTGCATGTTGAGCCCTGTTTTCTCCTCGATAGAGACAAAATGTAGTCATAGTGCCAATAGTTCTTCATGGAAGAAAGAACTCTTTTAAATCCGGATCATTAATTAATACTAATCTAATATGATAGAAAAGATCTATCTTTTCAGTATACGTTCCTGGGCTCTGTTGTGTTACAAATTTAAAGGTTGTCACCTCAAGCTATATTTTTTAGGGAATTAGCATAAATGGTCCACGACCTTTAAATTTTGTCGGAAACATTCCTAACCTTTTAATGTACTGGGTGCAATTAATCCTTTTGAATTGTTTCCATCCTCTTAAAATTATCAAACTTTTGATAAAAAGAGTAAAATGCTCTTACTTTTATTTAAATAAATAAAAAATAATGATGAAAAGAAAAGGCAACTTATCTTATCATTCAATCTTTCATGAAAGTATCTCCAACACAACCGTGAATTGTTATAAAAATTGTGTAATACAAGCAAAATAGAAAACATTTAGGCTACGTCTGATTGTCAATATTTTCCATGAAAATGTTTTTTTTTTTCACAAAAATTCTTACTTTTGTACTGTTTGATTGATATTTTTCTTTTTCCATATCTACTTTTGATCAGTGACTATATTTTCCTAGGAATAAAGAAAAATATATTTTTTTAAAATTAAATCAATCAAACACATTTAATTGACAGTTTCCAAAAAAATAAGTTACTGGCAATTGAATTGCTTAAAATTTATTTTCTTTCTATGCAAATTCCATATTTGCAATCTAACACACACTTAGAATCTAATGCAAGCTGACGAGGACAACACCAAAATGAAGTGACACGGAAAAATAAAATTACACGACAACTCTTTTTGATAGCTATTTTTTTCCTGCCACTTTATCTTGATAGAATTACTAACAAACTTTGATTATAGATTAACTTATTAATACATTGAATTTTACTTGTACAACAAAATTTTTGAACAATTCACGATTTCATCATAGATGCGCTTATTTGTGTTGATTATTATATTTTTAATTTTCTTTTCTTTTCTTAACTTATTTTTATATTCAATTAAAGTAATGATGTTTTAATCTTTATATCAATAGCTTGCATTTCCAATGACAATTAGACGAAAACCATCCAAAATGACCAATTGCGCTCATTAAATAAAAAGTTGTGGTGTTTGCACCAAAATTTGAAGATTAGGTACCATTTGCTCAGCAACTCCAGAGACAGTTTGCACGAATTTCTACAAAGAATGAATATTGTCGAGACAAAAAGTTGCTAGAATATTCACATCCAAACATTATATTGCATGGAAAAATTATATCCAAGAGCAGTAGCGATGCCATAAAATGAGTGAATAATAAATACTGAATAAACCCAAATTTTGGGGAAATAAGCACATTGTAAAGAGCGCTCAGCCTTCCACAAAGAGAGATTTTCAGTGTGAAGGCTGTGAAGACAAAATGAAAATCAGAATGGTGGAAGCAAACATTAAACTATGTCAGAAATTTTTGAATAGTAGCAGTAGAAGAACAGAGAGAAAAGAAAAGCCAAGCCAAGCAATTATTCACAGAAATGGCAGTAAAAAGAGTAATGAAAACTCATACATCGCATTGAACTGCAGCACATAATATTCAAACTACTTTTCAATTTCTTATTTCACCTAGCTCTTTAGACTTTAATTAATTGGTTTAATAGAATTTTCATGGAGATATGTTAAACTCCGATCATTACTTCTTGTTCAGATCAGAGCAGAAAAGAAATGCCAACATGAAAAAATCAATTTGAGATTGAAATGATTTGATACTAGATAAAGGAGATTATCAATAGAGAAAATCTGAATTTTACAAGAGAAGGGTAGCAGTGCAATGAAGAAGAAACAATGCAAATATTTGGTTGTAATTAAGAGAGGGAGTCGCAGCATGGGTCAGGATCAGTACTTTTCTATAGATGAAAACCTAACCACTTTGAAATGATTTGATACACAGTCAAAACCAAATTGATCGATGATGGGCGGTAACAGAGTTCACTCCTATTACTTTATAATAATCATGACCATAGAGGTTCCCCCCCCCCCCCCTTCTTTTTCCAGATTGGCATTAATTAAAGGCTAAAGCTATCAGGCCACCTCTAAATCAATGCAACACTATTATAGAAATTAGAATGCATAATAGAAATTCCATACGAAAACCAAACAGTTAAAAAAAAAAATCAACGAAGAGCACTCAAAATATCATCCACGAATAACGATGACATTAATTCAGCAACAAGCGTAACTGCAAATTGAACTAAAGGTTCCGACTCTCAACTACAGAAACTCATAATTAATAATAAAAATTGTTCAGATCTCAATCGCCGCCGGCCTTATTGTAAACATAGGTGAGGCCACACTTACCACAGTAGTGCCTATCAAAATGGTTAGCCATGAAAGTTCCCGAACCACACTCAGCGTTAGGGCATTCCTTGCGAAGCCTCTGGACCTTTCCTGAATCATCGACCTTGTAGAACTGCAGGACGGCTAGCTTCACCTTCTTGTGCTTATGCTTGATCTTCTTCGGCTTGGTGTAGGTCTTCTTCTTGCGCTTCTTGGCACCACCACGGAGGCGGAGAACGAGGTGGAGAGTGGACTCCTTCTGGATGTTGTAGTCAGCGAGTGTGCGGCCGTCCTCGAGCTGCTTTCCTGCAAATATGAGACGCTGCTGGTCCGGTGGGATTCCTTCTTTGTCCTGGATCTTGGCCTTCACATTGTCAATGGTATCAGAGGATTCGACCTCCAAGGTTATGGTCTTCCCCGTTAGGGTTTTCACGAAGATCTGCATCTTCGGCAAGCTAGGGTTTTTTTGGTGGTCTCTGTTCTTTGTGTCAAAGTCACGGCTGAGTTGAATGAGAGGAATATATTAGGGTTTGGTAAGAGATGGACTGGTTTGAGAAATCAATTGTTGGGCTGGGTTGGGTTAAATTGGACCATTTTTATTTGCTCTACTTTCACATATCCCTCTCAACGAATAGAAGCAACATGAAAATATTTCTTTTATTCCATATGTTGAGTTTTATACCAAACAAACTAAAAATAAAATATCTTCTTTCGTCGTGGGAGTAACTATTTTAATGAATGCAAGAACTTGAACAAATTTTATGTTTATATATATGTAATTTGCTTAATGTATCCAAGGTCTATAGTGGGGTCTAAAAAGTGCGTCTTACTAGATAAGAGGCTTCAAGTTAAAATTTTAAGGGAAAAATACATAATTGTTAGAGAATATGAATCAATAGACTTATGTGTGTTTTACTAAGAATCAAAATACATATTTATGAAGAAAAGTTTGTGATACAATGATATTAATTTCTAGGACTGCAATGGTACAATTGTTATTCACTAATAAATATAACATTTAAAACATTCTCCTTGAATGACACATTACAAACTATCCGCATTATTAATATCTTGTTTGATAAAAATTCAATGGAATAAATATATCAAACGAACAACAAAGAGTATAGTTATTTTGAAGTATTGAAAACAAATGTTGCCTCATTGAAACATTTTTAAGAAACACAGTGAGATAAAATCTAAGCGAAGGAAAAAGAGTGCGGCTACTCCCTTGACGCTGATCGCTGAAAATATTTGAACTGACACATTCAATCTCGTGAATCAATTGTTTAAATGTAGATATCGATAGTACTTTTGTGAATATATCATCCACGTCATCATTTGAGCGAACTTGTTGAACATCAATGTCATCCTTTTGAAACTTATATGTATGAGAGAATTTTGGAAAAATATACTGTCATGTCATCTTTGATATGACTTTATTTGAGTTGTGCGATACAAACTGTATTGTCTTTATATAAATTGTTGGATTATCTTTTATTGAAACTAATATCCATGATGCTTAGATATGATGGGTATGTTCCTCAACCATACAAATCCTCAGTCTACTTCATGAATTGCAAGAATTTCAACATGATTTGTAGATATTGTTGTTAAAGTTTGCTTCACAAATCTCCATAATATAGCTATTCATCAATGTATAAACACATTTTTGTTTGTGATTTAGCTTAATGTAAATCAGAGAGATAACTTGTATTTTTATATCCTACTAAAGCAAATCTTGACTTTTGAGAATAAAATAATCACAAATCAATAGTACATTTCAAGTAATGAAAAATATGTTTAACATAATTCCAATATCTTTCAATTGGCGTAAAATTATATCTTACCAAAAAAAAAAAGTGTTGTCGAGTTGAGTGCAGTTTGCAAGATAAATTAATGCTCTAATTGCGCCAAGATGTGGTACTCTAGGACTAAGAACATTTTTTTCCATTTTCAAGTACACTAATTTGATCCTTTTTCCCATCAAGTGATTGGACAACCGATGTCAATGGATGTATATTATCCATATAAAAACATTTTAGGACTTCTTCTTTCTATGTAAAGTGATGAACAAATGATTCTTTCGGAATGTATTTAATCTGCAACCCAAGATAAAATTTATATTTTTTTTCCAAATATTTCATCTCAAATTTATTTTTTAAAATAATCGCTAGTTTTGTTAAGCTCTTCAAGAGTTCCAAATAAATTTAAATAATATTTATAAACTACACAATTGCAAAACAAATATTTGTTTTCTTTCTGAAAATATATGGACAGACATTGTCATTTTTTAATAAGCCTCCTTCAACAAATATTATATAAGACAATTATAATACATGCATCTAAATTGTTTCTTTCCGTATAATGATATTTGTAATTCAATTGAGAACATAGTTCTTGAACATGTGTCATTTATTTATGGCACTTGAAGTCCTTCGAAGACTTTCATATATATGTCACTATCAAGTGAACCATACAAATAAGCAATTACTATATCCATAAGGCACATGTTGAGTCATTTTGACAAAGTCAACTAATTAAGTATCTAGAGTAATAGTATCTACCTTGAGAAAATATATTTCCCCATAATCAATTCCATGTGCTTTTGAGAAACCTTGAACTATGAGTTGAGTTTTGTATCTTATAATTTCATTATTTTCATTTCTTTATTGTACAAAAACTTATTTGTATCCTACAGGGATTACATTTTCAACTGTTCGAACTACAAGTCCAAACACTTTTCTTTTATCTAAGAAATTCAATTCTACACTGCAAACTTCTTTTCATTTTGGCTAGTCATTTCTATGTTAATAGTCTTTAATAGATTGTGGTTCAGATCCTTATTTCGTATAATATCAAGAGTCATGTTAAAGGTGAAAAAATTGTATATAACAACATTATTTTATTATCATAATTTATGAGATAATACATAATTTATTGAAATCTCATTCTTTTCGAACACTTGTGGTTCTTTAGAAACCATATTTCAATATCTAATTGATTAATCTTTTCTAATGTTACTTTTTTCAAAATTTTTGGTTGGTTAGTCTTTCGTACTTTCGCTTTCTAGGTACAAAGTCTTTTAATCAACTAGTCAACCATCTGTCTGGAGTATTTGAGATTCATTCACTTCATTATATTGTGGAGAATTCGAGATTCATTCGCTGCATTTGATTGTCCTAGAGAGGCATCAATTTTTGCTGAAATATTTTCTACTAGTATATATGATTCTGTCACTTTTCTTATGTTAACAAATATATATTTTTTCAATTTCTTGCTCACATTGATTGGCACGTGGATCAAATAGTTGTTTCATTCTAGGAAGTTGTCTTGCTTTTCAAGATATAGTTTTTCTCCTCTCAATGTTGAAAAAGTCATTTCGTCAAAATGACAAACTATAAAACGTACAATAAATAAAATCACTTGTTAAAGGTTCAAGATACCTAATAATAAATAATTAATCAAAACCAACATAAATCACAAATTTTCATTCAAACCCATTTTAGTACATTGTGGAGGTGAAAATATGGACTTGGACATTATAATTGAAAGCCCCGTAAACAAGAAATATTTGGTTCATGACCGAATGGAAGTTGCAAATCTGAATATTGATATCGGTAATTGGTCTTATACAAACCAATAATGCAGCATATAATATGGCATGACCCCAAACTGTAATATTCCGAATTTTGTGCTCATTTAATTTTTAGAATAGCAATTTAACTTTTCAAAATTTAGCATGACCAAAAAATTATTTATGGTTGCCAAATTTTGCATTGGTTGATTTATTAAAAGTTTTTCCAAATAATTTGTTAATTAGGGGTTTGGGATAAATGTCCATTTTACACCTAATTACTAAAGTCAAACACTGTTTCTCCAACTTGGCTAAAAATTGATGAAACAATTTAAGCATGTGGTGGCTACTTAAGCATGTGGTGGCTAAGGCATGCATGAGGTGTTTTAACTTAAGCATGTGGTGGCTAAAGGCATGCATAGGTGTTTAATTGAAGTTAAGGTTTTCTTGCATGCTGCCCAAGTGTAGAATTGGTTGAAGAGTCACCCAAAATTTATCATTTTTCTCACCTATAAATAAATGTGTTGCTGCCCTTTATTTCCCTTACATGAAAAACAACTTAACACTTGTTTATAAGAGGGTAGAAAATGTGAGGAAAGAAGAGGACCAGCCTAGCATTTCTCAATTCATTTTCAACCAAGATTTCATCAAGTTTTATTGTAAGATACTTTCTATGCTTAAGTGGTATGATTTCATGGTAATATTTATGCTTAAACTATGCATGAAAAACCATAATATGAATGTGGTGGACAAGTCCACAAAGTTAGATATCTATGCCTTAGGACAAGTCCGAAGGGCACCGGCAAGCCGGAATGTACAAGTATGTGTTTGATTGCATTCTTTTGTGTTGTATTAACATGTTAAAATTCAAGCATGGTATCTTACTGAGTATTCTTTATACTCATAGTGTTCTATACTAAATTCTCAGATTCATAATTGCGGAGTTGGTGGAAGTCAGTCGGCATAATCGATGATGGGTTAGGGACAAGGTTGTTTTGCATCGAAGTTTTGTTTTTGCATGTTTTGTCCGACTGCTTTCCATATGTTTTCGTATGGTATTGTATAAAAACATGTATGAGACATGATGTAATATGGTACCGGAAGTAAACTAAGCAATTATATCTTCTATGTTGTGTTAATAAACTTTTTTTAAAAAACTTCTCCTTGCAAATGACAAAAGGCATAAACGGGACAGTTTTTGGGTCAAATTCAACACGTTATTTTTGACTCCATAAACGTCCATTTGAGACTCTGAAAATATTACTGCATTCCTCATTGAGTTTTCTTAATATGGGCACAAGAATCACTCAATTTGGATATCTGCAGCCTGAGATATGAATTTTTAAACATTGAAGGGTCAAATCTGAAATTTTTGTGCAATACCTCACTGTTTTCAGTAAAACGCCCATATTATATGATCTTGGAAACTTTTATATTTTAACCTAGAAAACTACTTGAAAATATCTTTCTAATGTCATAAATTTCATAGAAAACAGAGTTGGGATGAATTTTATAAAAATAGTCAAACTTGCTGCCCCAACTAACCGTGGCAGTGCAAAGTCCGTATATGTAAAGTATAATTTCTTGTCGACATGCGCTTCTGCGGGCCATTAAAAGTTATGAGAGACATTTTACCAAGTTGAAAATAAGTTTCTAACATTTAATACTTCTATTTAAGAGTATTTACATATACCAAAGGCAGAAGCTATTATGTTTAGTACGTGACACTCGAAACTTAAGTTTGGGGCATCACACAAACAAAGGTTGAGATTTTTTTATAAGTAATGATCTAGCAATAATTGTATATAATTGATAAATAACTTCACCAAACCATTTTGTGTATGGACATTTGCAACTAAATGTTTTAATAGCAATCACAATTGACATACAATAATCATCGAATGCTTATAATCTAAATTCATTAGCATTTATCAAGACAAGTTATCTTGATTGAGTAATCAGAAAATTGAGCTCGTAATTTTAT